ACATTGTGTGCTTTTTCTCAATCTACAAGTTTCAATTCCTATGAAACAGATCTAATTATTCTATGCTGTTTGCTGGCTTATAATGAAAACCAAAAGGGATTTGGGAAGTTTACCACAAAGCATTTAATAATTGAGCATTATTAATTAGGCTTTGAAATTACTCTTTGGTGTAAGTTTCTTAGTTCTTATGTAATGAAATTAAGTGCTCCTACATGATCATGGTCTTTATTCATTAATTTTTTCAGGACACGCCTTTAGAAAAACTAGATAAGAAACATTTTACTAAAAGTTCATGGGGATTGGAACACAATGGCCTGGCTGCACCTCCACAGGAAGTTAACAACTCAAAGGATATTGCCTTGATGGAGGCCAAGATGAGAAAGCTCTGTGATTTATTGGATGAGGTTAGCAATTAGTCTTTTGGTATTCGATTACAGATTTGATTGAAAATTGCTCCTGTGGAGACTCATATAATTTGCTTTTCCAACATTGTTAATGTTTGTTCCTAGTTATACCTCGGTCTCTGTTAATGTTACTTATAACATTTTGCAGACAATTGTACGAACAAAAGAAAATGTCGAGAAGAAACAGGCATTAACATATGAGGAAATGGAAGCAGAACGTGAGGAGGTATGTTTATCCTGGATTCTTTTAGATGTTGAAGTCTTCAATCTTGGTTTAAGTTTACTGCAACTTCTCCAAAAGAAAAAAAAATTCTGTTTGCTGCATTTTCTAAACAACAACTTCTTGGATTTGACAATTTCTTGTAGGAAGAGACTCAGGTTGACACTGAAAGTGACGATGAAGACCAACAGATATATAATCCCCTTAAATTGCCTATGGGTTGGGATGGGAAGCCTATACCTTATTGGTTATATAAGCTTCATGGTCTTGGCCAGGTATTCTCTCAATTCTTGAAAGTCACTTTCTTATGGTTGTCTTCAAGTGCCTTCAGTTAAGAAAATAGCTTTTTTATTTTTTTTTTTCTGGTTGTTTGCCCATTTATCAGGAGGAAGGTGTTTAATTTTCATGGATGTGCGGATCTGTATTATTAGCATATAGAGTATCATTTAGATTGATGGTCAAGTTGTTATCAGTTAAGAGTTGGCAATAGTCTAGCAGTTAGCATTTGCACAATGCTATGCATTGTTCTGTACACCCATAACATATGTTTTCAATTTTCTGAAAAAAAAAATTCGCTGTATTGTTTTTTGGTTCATATATATGTATATTTTTTCTTTTCTTATTTTTTAGGCTGAAGAGGAGATGGAGAAAGGTTGTTACGGGCCTTAAAATTTATTATCATCCTAATATCTGTTATGGGTTTCAACTACTGTTGAGCTTCTTATCATTCACAAAGCTGCAAAATTTTTTGATGAATTTCAGGAATTTAAATGTGAGATATGCGGAAACTACAGTTACTGGGGACGTAGGGCTTTTGAGCGACATTTTAAGGAATGGCGCCATCAACATGGAATGCGTTGCCTTGGTATTCCCAATACGAAGAATTTTAATGAGATAACATCCATTGAGGTATGCTGCTATAAACTTGTATCAAACACTATACCTGTTTGAGGATAGTGATATTTTCTATATAGTCTATTACAAAATAATAGGTATTTCTCATATAGCCTTTGTCTGTATGGTTTATGTCCTTAGGCTTGTTGACTTAGGGGAGTGACGAGTACTACAAAATTTCGTGTAAATCCTGGAGTAAGAACTAGTTCCATAGAAAATATTGTTGTTATCTCACCAAAAGAAATTGTTCTTTGGAACTTTTCTAAATTTTTTCTTAGGAGTCAGAAGGAGTGAAAGGACTAATTGTCGAACATAAAATTAGTATGTGAACTGTAGGTAGTGTTTGTTTGCTCAACTCGATATGGTAACATTATCCTATTTGATAATTAATATGGTAAGATATGGTACTGGAGAACTTTTTGTGCTCTTATTAAGTAAGAATTTGCATAAGATTTTGGGGTAATTTTTTTATTTTTTTTTATGAAAGTTTAATCTTAGAATTTGGATGTAGTTTTAGCTTTTACGATCCCAACATAAACATGAGTCCTTGGTGCTGTCCCAAGATTTTCTAGTGCAGTGCTGGGATCTATGTGCAATCCCAGGTCTCCAAAGCTGTCCTAGGACCTGTGGCAGTCCCAGGTCCTAGTGCTTGTCTCAGGATCCATGCACTATCCGGGGACACTGAGAGGTGTCCTGAGACCTAGGTGCGATCTAGGAGTCTGAGAGCTTTCCTGGAACCCAGGTGCAATCTTCGACTCCCAGCAAAGTCCGGGGGGGGGGGGGGGGGGGAGCCCAGTTCAATCCTTGACTTGGAGGGTTGCCGGAGCTCGATGCTGTCTGTTCTTGGCTTATATTTTTTTTGTGAAAATAGTAGACAGTGAGTCTCATTGCATGTCCTATTCTTGGTTCACTTAAAAAACAGTGCAATATTTCTTTTCTGTAATGCTCTAGTATTATGTTGTCCTATGGCTCTAGTTAACATTATCTCGGGGGGTTTTTCCTTAGGGGAGTGAGAACTGGTTGTCCCACCCAAATTATAATATCTATGAATCTTTCATTGGGCTGGTTCAAATTTATTATGTTCCCATTCAATTCTTAGATTTTAGTTATTTGATGTATTATTTCAAAAAATAGTTCATATATTTGGTGTATAATTAAATTAACTTCACAAATATCTTTAATTCTACAACTATGAATTTTGTATTTTCATGTGTTAATAATGCAATCATAAAAACACCTTACTTAAATTACACATGAAATTGATTTGGAATTGAAGTGTTTTTTCAGTCAAAATTATAATCTCCTTTTATTACATTCTCATTTCTCTTTTTGGAATTGGAATTTGAATTCGAACCAAAACTCAACCGTAAAGTGCTTTTGTTTTTTGTGTTAGTGAGTAACAAAAGTTGTGACCTGTTAAGATTTGTTAGTAGAATCTTTGATATTACATTTCAGCAAAATATTGAACTCTTTAGCTTGTATCTAGCCGGTTTCGTTTACATCACATAGTTTTGACTAGGATGGTACTTTCCTTTACTGGATTTTACTGGATTATACGAGAGCAAAAATGATAGCAAACAATTGTTTCTTCTAACTTTCTACTGTAGGAAGCAAAGGAATTGTGGAAAAGGATACAAGAACGGCAGGGAGTTAATAAGTGGCGTCCGGATCTTGAGGAAGAATACGAAGACCAGGAGGGTAACATTTACAACAAAAAAACTTACACTGATTTGCAACGCCAAGGACTGATCTGAGATAGACGTGAGCTCCAAGTTTTATAACTTGAACAAATTGGATACTAAGGATCGGATATAAGGACAGACTTAGGAGATAGCTATGAATTTTGATGAATTAATGAGTATTTCCTTGTAAATTTGGGATGCCAAATGTTCCTCCGTTCCTCTAGTTAGAATTAAAATACAGCTTGTTTGTCAGTTCCCGTATGTGAATGGTGTACCCTTTTGTGGTTGAACTCATAATACTGAGGGCATCCTTTTTTCCATTCTAATGTTTCTTTCGGCTTGAGCGGAGAGCCCGTGTTTGCATTGAGAAAAGTTAAGAGGAAAGTAAAGAAAAGAATGGTCTCGGGCTGTTTGTGCTGCGTTAAAATTATTTCTTAGGTTAGTTTTTAAATATATATTATTTACTGAATATCTTTATTTGAATTTGTATCTTAGAGTTGTATATTTATAGAATAATCAAGCAATAAAATATACGTACCTCTATCATAGTAGAACCTCTTATGCTGATTTGTAAGTGAAGGTAGTTTTCTCCTTTCACTCTCCCCATCTATGTTAATAGCAAATAAAGGAACATTATTAATGGTTATGTACAATTCAGTGGGAATATAAATTATATCAAACTTCAATTTTTACAAATTTTATCTACACAGGATACTCAAATTTTAGTCATACTACTTTCGTCTAGACATGACCTTGTAAATAGGAGGGCTGAGCCATTCACCCCACGAAGGACTAGCAGCCTTGAGTCTACATATGTTCCACATACAAGTTCTGATAAATCAAACATCTCTGGTGGGACTTGTGTCCGAAATTCTTGAACCACGGATCTTGCAGCATCGACATTTCGACTTAATGGGTCATCAAGATTCATCGTCACCTCAGTGTCACCTGAAACAAGCTTAGCCACCGGAAGGCTAGAAGGAAATTCCTTAAATGGGATTATTTTCCTCCATACTCTATCTGATAGTTTCTGAATTAAGGAACCCTCTGGATTTAATCCATTTATGGAGAACTTTCCAGTGGTCTTTTCTTCCTTAAGATATAACCTTTTCCCGCCTGTCAATCTAAACAGAGAACTGACTTGCAATCTTCCAGTTGTTCCAGACTTGTCATGAGGCCAATCCTCACCCACCATCACAGTGAAATCGATATCTGATGTGAAAAAAATGCTGGTATTTATCTTCGATGCTCTTGATATGGTTAAGTGTAAATTACCAATTAGGACACGGGCAGGAGGCTGGCGAAGGGTTAACCCTATGTGTCTTCCAGTAGAGTACAATAGACGCCATTTTCCTGGCAGTAGCTCTAACCAATTCTGCACATTGATAAACGAGCATTAAATACTCAGCTGCTAGTTGAAAATGAGAAAAGAAATACTGAATGTCAAAACATTCAAGTATGAAATGATAAACTACCTTTGGCTTCGAGTGCGGATTCAGCATTTCCATTAATTCAATTAAGTGGGCAAGTCTACCACGCTGAAAACAAGAGTATCCTTAGACAAACTCATTTTGTTGCACAAATGAAAATTAGACAAACATGCAATGCAAAATAGTAAAAACCGCAAGAAATTGACACGGTTCAATTAGTACGAGTTACTCCACTTGAGAGACAAAAATCTCGATTCACTATGAAAAATGAGAAACTACAATATTGTTTTCGTCTAGCTCAATTCCTAACTCAAGTAAACCTAAATTTTGCTTCACTTGCCTGCCCCAACTGCCCATTCCCTCATGTGGACAGGCATGTTAATCTAGACAAATTCAAGATACATTCAACACAATTCTATGCTGTCAAGTTTCTACCGTATTAATTAGTCAATTCACTGCCAGATATATGACTAACTTGAGAAATAACATAAGCAAACGCGCGCACACCCTCCTAAAGGACTCTTTACCAGCTTTTTACCATATAAAAGTATTAACTTAGCTCTATGACTGGATAAAGATTAAGCTAACCACCAACTTCTATATTTTAGTCTAAACTCTAGATAATTTTTAGGAAAGATAATCAGTTTACCACTGAAGAAAATAAATGCTGTCAATCTGACCAGCTGACAGGTTTTAACTGGAAATTAACAAATATTGAGATTCTTTCTATAGAGATGCAATAAATCCTAGACAATTCATATCAAGAATAGACATGCTAATACATTCAGGTGGATCAAAAGAAAGTGAAAATAAAAAACTTTATATACCTGGGGCTGGTGATAGATGTACTCTTCTGTTATCTTCACAGCAGTTGATCCAAGACCCCATCTGATAACATCCACAGATGGGACCACCCGCCATCTTGGCCCACACAGAAATGGGTGTCTAAGAGCATCCAAACAACTGCACAAAATGCAAAATTAACACCATGAATAAGATTGCTGTTTGCTTTTCAAGATATGCATAACACTTCTCAAATCTTTCTAGCACTTCTTAAATGCACATGGTGTTTGTATGTATTCTCACATATATTCAAGAATGAGGAAGCCTACCAAAATAAATTTGCTGATAAGATAATTTGAAACTCCATTTATCATGCAGAAATTAATTTTGTTGTTGTAGCATGAACGAAGTCTATCTTAGTTTTTGCACTCAGGCAAATTAGCTTTAAGTCTACTGATTGCATACCTTATTCTTTTGGAAAGGTTTGTA